GGCAGTTTGTAGTTTCAGATAACGTAAGCTCCAACACTTGTCGTTTGTGTCGGTTGTAAAAAATCGAAAGCCACACTGGTTCTGCAGAAATTAAATTCTTCTTTTCTATGACAGAATTGCCATGTTAGTCGAATAACACCATACTAAAATATTCCTTCTACCTGGACATATCTAAACCTATCCCCCTCAATAAAAATGGATCCTACCAAAATTGGAACAACCAATCACCTCAAAGAACAGAGGCCTGTTAAAATAAAATTACCAACAATTGAAGCAAAACATGTCTGATATATTACAATGAATTCTACTGGGTGCTGGGCTAAATCATATGACAGGAAAAAAATTAGCATATTGCCATATATGGAAGACGTGGGAGACTGATGATTATATCAAATTACTGTACACATTGAAACAATTATTAAGAAAGTTCCTTTCACATCGACAATTTGGCCATATTTGGATAGGATTTGCATATGGACTTTTTCTCAAGTGAACCTGGACTCCACATTTAAAATATAAAATAACATATAATGCTTGTATTTCAGAAATGTCATAAACATTCTGACTGTATCAAAATAGGCACACATCTCTTTTTCTCGTGATCGGTTTGAGTATAAACAACGCCATGGTAACGGCAACAATAATATTAATTAACTAACTTACCATTCTGTTTGACAAAAATAATCTCTCATTCATTCACATTCACTCACTCTTGCGCATAATTTGTTAAGATATCTACACTAAAGCTAGAAGTAACTACGTTCATCATGACGGCCGTAGTTTGGCATCCACCAATTCGATTTGTTTATATTTTTTCCTGAAATTTGAAACAGAGTCTTTATAGAGAACAGGGTCCAGTCTCATCTGTGATCGCACCAGTGGCATGTAACCAAAGTTACTGGCAAACTCATTCATGCACAACTGTCGATCAGCGAAGTGCTGCGGCTCCAGCCAATCGGACGTCGCCTTCCCACTACTGGTTGTTGGTTGCATGGTTTCCTTGTACTGCTTCTTTTGGGTGACTTTAATTGGTGGGAGTTTGGTGACGTGTGACACCAGAAAGTTCATAAGAATGTCTTCACAGTTGTTGAGATCATCCACACGATTTCTTAACTTTGCTGGTAGATATTCGCTGAACAGATACGAGTAATATCTAAAAAACAAAGAGAAACCAGTTTAGGTCATTGAACAAAGATTTATGACTATACCAATAGACCATTTTCCGTACACTGCGAGAATCACGCGTTATGCGTGAAATCGAACGTAAAAACAGGACAAACAAAGGTCATAGCGTCGTAGTCGCGTCAAACATCGCGTGGGATTCGACAAACGCAAAAGTATTTAGGGGACATTTCCATGCTTAATAATGTGCTGTCCACATTTGATGATAGGCAATTTCGATTAAGTAAGGGTATTCGGAAGCAATATTCCTCTGTCGAAGATCGGCCGGTCGGTGTGAGCTACGAAATAAGGAAATTAGAGTTCAAAATCAAATCGTTCGATTTTTGCGGCAGACGTTCGACGCGCGTCTTTCATGCATCTTGCGAGATCTCGCAATTGTACGGAAAATCACCTATTGTTATATGACTTAATTATTTATTTTATTTTCACTTGCAGCTAAAAACGCCAAGAAAACAAATCATCATGTTTTGATAACCTTATCTAACCATATTTCTGATGAAACTCAAACTTCTATTGTATGCAGATTAGTTTATTTTTAAATAAACAGCGCTTCATCCATTAATTTGTTTATATACTTCTTTGATATATATGACGGAAAGATTCACAAAATATACAACTTGCAATTGGTAGTCATTCATTCTTAATCTTATTTCTTTCTTAAAATGCATAATTGTGATGGAAGTAACCTGTTAACAGGTCACTGGGGAGAACAAATATGACAATCTAAAATTATATCCAGAATTATTATCTCATTACTTGAACTAAAAGATTTTTTTTTACCTAAACTAAAACTCAATGAATATTAAAACTTAACAAGGAAATTTACGGTTTCCTTCACAAACCAGTGAATTTAATATCTAGTGAATATTTCTGCAAAATGAAACAATTTCACAGTATGCATGTTGAAGCAAAGGAACTCATAACAGACCACTGATTAATATTTTTTCCAGAATGTCAGTGATCAATCATATCCCTTCAGAATTTAGATTTGGTCCACATCAGTCACAGAAGATAAAAAGGTTCAATATACCTATGATAAAAAGCTGCCCCTGTTAGAACCATTGAATAATCATTGGTCCACTTGGATGTATAACCCCATTTAGATTTTACTTCATTCCAGAAATGACTTCTTGATGGATAACCAACCAATCTATCAGGGAAAAATTGCCAGACTGAAAATGCAAAATCCACCTGCAACAACGAAAAAAAAAGAAAAATTGAAACGGAATAGTACATACCCTCAACTCATCAAATAAATAAGTCATTTCACAATGTAAGCATATGCAAGGAGTAACTAATTCGAAATTGGCATCTGATGACATAATAATATTATTCATAACTTTGAGCCAATCCAATTCATTTTGATGTGTCTACTTACCTCATCTGTTGTCAAAATTGCATCTTCGTCTAAACTTAGAACTGCATCAGTCAAAATTTGACTGTGTGCAATAAACCTACTGCTGATTGTCTACAGAAAGAGAATAAAAAGATGAGCCAATAAGTTTGTGACATGGTCAGTGTTAGTCAACTCTTGTGTGACATGGTTAGTGTTAGTCAACTCTTATGTGACATGGTTAGTGTTAGTCAACTCTTATGTGACATGGTCAGTGTTAGTCAACTCTTATGTGACATGGTTAGTGTTAGTCAACTCTTATGTGACATGGTTAGTGTTAGTCAACTCTTATGTGACATGGTTAGTGTTAGTCAACTCTTATGTGACATGGTCAGTGTTAGTCAACTCTTATGTGACATGGTCAGTGTTAGTCAACTCTTATGTGACATGGTTAGTGTTAGTCAACTCTTATGTGACATGGTTAGTGTTAGTCAACTCTTATGTGACATGGTTAGTATTAGTCAACTCTTATGTGACATGGTTAGTGTTAGTCAACTCTTATGTGACATGGTTAGTGTTAGTCAACTCAATAATTAAACAATAATGACTCCCCCCCCCCCCACAGCACCACATTGGATGAGGAGAAACAACCTATCACAACTAGACACTTATTTGAATTCAATATAATGCTACTGTTATTTTTATAAATCATATTTGTACAATTATTGCATGATAATGTAAAGATAAGACGTCATAAAAATCTTGAATTCTGAGAGCAGTGATTTATGAGGTTATTACGAGGATACTGCAAAGTATGCACGAAAACATTACAGCATGAATATCAATCGACGCACAGCCGAGGTCGATGCGACCGCGTCTGTCTGAGTGCATACTTTGCAGTATCCTCATAATAACCTTATTATTATACATCTTTCCCACCCAGGGATACATCATGGGAATGCAGAATCCAAAAAGTTTAGAACAGATTTAGCAAACTTCTTTGTGCAGAGTCCGGTCAAACCCTGGGGGCAGCCATGTTTGTTTTTTGTTATTAGAAGATGCTTACGTGCGCAATCATTCCATATTTGGAATTTGCATTTCCTAATATGGTAGGATGAAAATACCCCATAAAATACCGCAAAATTACGGCAGGCTGTAACTTATGGCGTTACGGCGACAGATGTATAATAATACCATGTAATGCATACCTTTTTTTCTGGCTCTATTATTGTAAGAGGCACATTATCTGTACTAGGCCATTTACTTTTAGAAGGCAACGGCCGATCAACATTCCATAGCACCAATATCTGTAACAAACAATGTAATAATGTAGCAATGAGAATGCTATACTAAATATAATCCAATCGTAATACCAGTGTTGAGAGAGTAAATGAATTACATAGACTGAGTGTCTCATTAAATTACTGAATAGTCTGATTCTTTCATATTAACTTGGAAAAGTATATTTTTAGAATACTAAAGCTGAAACTGAATCATACTTAACCCAAACACACAGTCACTTTCCCCAAAATAAATATCACCTCATTAATAAGTTAGATCAAATTAAACAAAAAGGAAAAAAGAAATCCCAAATATTGAACTACCTGAACTCAATGTGAACATACCCTTGACTGCTATATATTGTATGAATTTTTTGATTAATAATTTCGTAATAAACCGGCAATGGCTGTAACTACATATTGATCTTTTTTTTCTCTGATTTTTGTTTTTAATAAAACTTTTCCTGTGTCATTAGTGTCAATTTGTAATAAACACAGAAATAAGCATAGCATACATGCTATAAAACGACATTGTATATTAAATCACTTGAAAAAATGGCTGCAGGATTGTGTACAAGATGACAACTTAATCAGAGGCATTGGCGTAATGTCAAATACGATGCCATCTTGATGGGTTAAGCATCTCTTTGCAATCCACTCACTAAAGATTTTATGTGTAATTTTCCATAATATTGTGCGTTATGCATCACAAATTTCTAAGGTTCCATCGTTAACATATTGGTGACTACTCGACCCTTAGTTTTCACATTACATTTCATGTGACATTAGCAACAATATCTCATTAGGATTAGGTAATTTTTCTATTGTTATATTTAAACAACAAATGTTCAAAATAACAGCCATTGTCGCTTTAATAAGTTGCGCTAATTCTTTAACGGTCAAACACACATCCCAGTGTGCTACCACAACTAGGGTGAATTCTTATTTCCACGATTCAATTTAGCTTCAAAAGCTTCTTTTTTTTTTAATATTACAGCAATTACATTAAAAAGCTAAAAGTTCAATTGTACTGAAGCCAACTTGCTGGCAGTGAATTATAACAAAGTTTTTTTTTCAATTTCCCACGGCAATATTGTATCTGCGATAAAGGTTAAACTGATGTATGTGCCAACACACAATGGAAATGTGTTATGCATGAGAAAGTGTTTTTTTTTTAGATAACACTGCTAAATATAGTTCCATCATAACTGATTGTGATTTTCTATCTGAAAGTAGCTACATGAATTATTAACAGTTCACACGTTAGAACTTAGTTGCTACAATATATTAAAATATAAGCTTGTTATTATTTTGGGCTATATTTAACCTTTTCACCACCAGTTCCCTCTTTACATCACAAACTCACAAAATAGCTCTTTTTATAGTTTGCACTTTTCTTCAGAAGATTGGGAGAAAAATATCTAGTTTTTTGAGTAAAAACTGAAAATTGACTCAAATTTTGTCTGTTGGCTCCAAAATTAGGGTTTATTTCCAGAAATATTAAAGTATACAAGAAAAAAAAAAGCAGAAAACCTTGATCGAGAAAGTCTGGTGGTAAAAAGGTTAATTTTGATTGGTTGAGAAAGGGGTATCATAATGAGGGCTCAGAAGGAGGCTGTCTAACTCATTCTGCGAATACGATGACCCCCTCACTTCCTATATGGTCAATTATTCAGTGCTTGGCATATATACTTAAATTTACTCGTCTGGCGAAGTACAACCTGACATCTTTTAAAGTCATCCATCCAGGTATCGCTGGTTGTTGGCAATTTTCAACCCCCCTCACCCCTCACCATCCCCACTATCTAATCCTGCTATTAATGCACTAGAATATAAAGAAGCATGGATGTAGCAATTTTCATGTTTTTATGATTCAATCACATCCCAGCAAAAATCTATGTTAAACCAAACTCTTGTGTGAATACAGAATATACTGTAAAATACTTTATTTCAGCTGGATTTAATTTTCGCTGAAAAGATTTTTTAGGTGTTTTGTATGGAATTTATTTTCACTGATTTTTGACAAGTTGAATGTAAAATATAGGAAAAAAGGTATATTCGCTGGATTTTATTTTCACTGGATCAGCCTTCCAGCGAAAATTATTTGCAAGCGAAAATAAAGTATTTTACAGTATGCAATCCTTGCACACTATCTAGAAAATGGAAATTCCTAACAGTGAGTGAAAGAGATAATAATGAGGTAAATAACATGTATGGTTACATCTGTGTATTATCCAAAACTATGTACTGAATTTGATAAAAATTCACTCAGAAGTTTTTGAGATTTTGCTTATTGCAGACAGACAGACAAACACACCAAACTCATGACCTCCCCTGGGTGCTTTAAATCTTTGCAAAAGTCACTGAAACTCTTTACAATTATGTGTGACTTACATAATGACTATTACTGGATACCACATATGTGGTCAATTAGAAGTACTAATAGTAGTGCACATAAACCAAGAACAGCATTTCAATAAACAATGACTCAATGTCATTCACGTAAGCGCATGCGCTACCAGAGGCAACACTGTTAATATCTGTTTAGTGTATTTCTGAACAGCAAACAATATAACGTAATATTTAAATACAAGCTCTATCAGTATTTCTTTGGTCTAAAATTTTAAAAACAATTTTAAGAATCACAACATGTGGATTTTTAGTAAAAGCATTGTCAGTCGTAAGCAAAAAAACATACATTCATTTACCATACCCAAAATAGCATAGCAAGTAGAATTCCCAGGTGACAGTAATACATTCACTTATTCATCTCAGTAACATATTATGAAAGTACATAATTGACCCCCACCAAACATGTCTGTGCAGGAATGCTACGTTTTGAGAATAAACAAGTATTTAGTATTCCCATGACAACCAGCAAACACTGGATAATTTCACCTAACTTGTATCAATTTCTCTATCGCAGAAGCTGATTAAAATCAGCCCTCAAGCGGACTCCAGCCAAGGGCTCGATTAATTTAAATTTGATATCGGCAATCAAACAGCTATTTAGCTGTATCACAAGCAGGCGTATTCACTCAAAAAAAATCTGTCAGTTTTCAATGATCTCACTGATGGCTGATTAATTTGTACAAAAAAAATAACTTAAAGGATATGAATTAGCAAAAAAGAAGAAATTGTTAATTGCGTTTTTGTTGACAATAGTCACAAATGTAATTACAATCACATTGAGCGAGTTCATTCAATGAATCAGCAATGCTAGGAAGAAATTATTGACGTGGGAGTATAGGGTATTTTTTTTAAAAAATTCAATAAAATGAGAGGTGTCAAATTTGAAATGCGCCGTGAGAGATGACAGATGAGTTGTATAATTCTATGTGTATGACCACTTGGTCCAATATTTCAAAATTTGAAGCAATTTATAACATTTTTCATCAGTCCACTCATTCGATTCCGTGAGACAAATCCTCAGGGAAACTGGCAACATTTTGTTGATTATAAATCTACAAGCAGTGTAGCGCAAATTACTGCAAATGACTTTCACAATAGAGAGACTTTCATGAGTCAGTTTCTTTTGCAAAACGGCTGACATTATTGACAGTGCGTGTATTCGTATTTGGATTTAATGTACACAAAAAATGTATTTTACATGTATTGCATGTCACTGCGACTTTTTAACAGAAAGCAGTATATGCTATAAATTGTTACAATTTCAGGAAATTTCGTGAACACAACATTTCGTAAAACTTATAATAATTTCACTAGCAAAAAAAGTCTCACAAAATTAAAGTAGTTTACTGTATATTTAAGCAATAACCCCCGCCGAAGG